TTTATTTTTTTAGTTAAAATATATTATACAATTAACTAATGTTTAAATCAAAATAATTTATTATTATAAGATACTATTATATTTATATAATAGTTTATTTTAATAATTTAATTATAATAATAAGTGTTTGATTATTAATCTATATCAAACATTTATTGTTAACTAATAAAAATATATAATTTATTTGTTAGTAAATAATAACCCTTGATTAAAACAATACACACTTATTGTTAATTAAGTTTTCATTCGACAATATTAATAAATAAACAACATGTTCAAATGCTTGATCAAGAGACGAACGATGTGTTAAAACATTTTCATTTATTCATCGTTTCATAACATTTGGATATTTGAATAAAAAGTCTTTTAGTTCAAAATTAAAACATGTTTTTACAATAAAAAGGAACAGTACCGAAGTCTGATTTGTATTTGTAAACAACAATTTAGTTATTAAACTCCGGACACAAAGTCCGACGTATCGGACTTTCGGATTTATTTTTCTGCTATTTTTTAAAATTTTTATTGAAATAATTAATAAATTATGTCAAGAAAAACGGGAAATGAGCTAAATGTTATGAGCATTTATGATTTTTATATTATTTTTGATGTGTTTTTTCTTCAATTATTTATTTGTTCATCATACAAAAACGTTCATTAAAACATTCATTGTTTTCACAAAATATAAATAAAGTAACTACTTTGTTTTGATATGTAAAAATAGTTTTTTAGCATTAACAAAAATATGAATTTTTGATTATAATAGTTGTTTAACAAAACTATAATTATAATACATTTTATTATAATAACAATAATTGATAAAAATGTTCCATTTACAAATGTCATTATTGTTATATATTTTTGTCAAGAAACAATAATGTAATTTGCTTTGTCTTTTCATATCATTATTAAACAAATTCTATTATAAATTAATAATGAAATGATTAAATATTATAAAAGTCAAATAAAAACAAGTAATAATTGTTAATTTTTATTATATTATAAAAAAGTATTTTTGTTCCAATTAGTATTTCGAATCACCTGTATTTCATCTATAAAAACAAAATTAATCAATTATAATATATTTACATTTTTATAATTAATATTTTAATATTTTCAACATAACGAAAATAAAAATTTTTTGTTACTTGTGGTGTTTTAATTAATTTCATGTGTTTCCATATAAAATTTTGATACACTTTTTAGTTTAATTTAATAATAAAATTATAATTAAGTCGTGTTTTTCGTTGTTATTGTAAAAATCAACGAATTGAAAAAAATAATTTTATTTTCATATTTTTAAATGTTATAATATTGATTAAATTTGCGATTTTTGTATAAAATTTGGGTATGAAATTAATTTTTCGTGTTTTATAAACCAAAATATTTCATGATTTTGAAATAAGGAAATTGTAGTGTAAGTAGAAAATTAAAAAACAAAAAATAAGACGCAAAAAATCGAAATAAGGGAAAATAATGATAAGTAAAACAGGTATAATTTTCGACAAAATATATTAATATCCCGAAAAACAAAAGAAAAAAATACTGTTATAACGTGTCGGACTTTATGGCCCAAGTTTATATATATAATAATTATGTTTAAACTATTGCTAAGATGTTTATTATTCATTTTTTGTTTTGTATATTAGAATGAGAGTATTTACAACAATTGCTTATAATAACATCAATACTATAAAAAACGACACAAGATCTAAGTGTTTTGATGTGATGTATTGTTTGAATAGGGTCATTAAATAATACATTTCACTTTTCAAATTGTATCTTCAATACAATCGAAATATAATAAAAAATAATTAATTTTAAATTTTAAAAATTTCAATGATACATTTGACATATACATTATAACATAATTAAATGTGTATTTTTGCACAACGTTTACTTATCAAAAGTATATTTTGTTTATGTAAAATCATACCAATCGAAAGCAATACATTTGGAAAGCAAGTTTTTAAGAATCGGCGTTTTTTGTCAATCAAACCGTAAAAACCGCGTTTTAAAACTGTTTTTGTTTGGTTTAAGACTAATAATGTTTGCTCTTTAGAGAACAGTTATTATCATTCCCACTCACTCACTCTTGAAAGGTTCGAGTGTACTTTACATAGTATATATTATCATTTGAATTCGAATATTTTGTTAGGGTGATACAACCCACTTTTATATTTTTTAATAATATCACTAAAGTATCACACACTTAAAATTAACCCAAATTCAAAATTATCTGTCATGTATTGCTTAATAACAAATTGTTGTTGAATGTATTAAATAACCCATTGTTGAAAATAGGTTATTTAATTTATGTATTGCATCAACGATTTAGTTTAATTTTTAACAAGTTATAATATACTTTAAAATATATATACCCATAATATTAATTTTAGTTGTTCATAATTGTTTTATTTAAAAAAGTTTGTTAACTTAAGGGTGAGGTTTAGAAAAAGGATGTCTGTTGATTCCTTAATCATTCCAAAAGCCCATACCCCTACCCATTCATGGAGATGGGTGGGCTGGTTTTACTCTTTTTCTTTTAATTATTAAAAAATAAAATCAAAATACCCCAAAATAATCAGAAATTAAATATATATATTTTACAACAAAATGACAATTTAATTAATAATAAATAATTCTTGAACAGATACTCCAGATTCTACTGTTTTTGTTTTTGTGTTGCAATATTTCATTCTTTTTAACACCGAAAAAAATCTTTCAACGGAACAACTTGTGACTGCAATCAAGTTGGTTAATCTTATATTTTCTGTTAATACCGGGAATAAAATTCTGTCGTTTTCATCCATTAATTCAAATAAATTTTGGGTAGTTATTTTTGGAATTAAACAAATACACATAAATTGGGAAATGTGTTCATCTGTCCACAATCTATAGTTGTAACGTTGTACCAATATTTCCAATTGTATATCTTCAAGACATCGAATTTTAACCAAATCTTCATCATACAAAAATCGGTTGTAATCGGTTCTAAAATGTCCACTTCTTCTTGGGTTCAATTTAAAAGCATTTTTAAATTTTGTTGAACATTTAATATCTTTGCTCTTCCAACTTTGATCATTTTTTTTCATGTTTAAAAAATTTACAATATCCACATGAGTAGATTTCCATATCGTTAATTGTTCACATTCTCTTGAAATATCCAGGTCGTTCAAAGGTGATACTAACCCAATTTCATTAGAAGGTAACAAACAAACACTCATTTGTGTTTTCAAAAAGTCTGGTGTAACCTTTTCATACAATTCAATAAACTCACTAAAATAGTTTATTATGAAATCACATTCTTTTACACCGTTATTTCCTCCAATTTCTTTTCGAGTGCATTTTTTCAAAGGATGTGCAAATCGAAATACAAAAGCTTGAATGAGCCTGGTTAGTAAACCTTCACAAACTATTCGAGCTCTTTCAATATCAGAAGATTCATTTTCTCGAACAAATGGTAATGACTGGAAAAAGGGATTGTTAATGTTTTTCACTTTATCTCGTAAATCGAACAAATATCATATGTAATTCCAAATTCTGCAGTAACTTTCACATAGTAATCTATTTGGACTTTGTAGCCAATCCATAATATGTCTGAGTTCGGAGAGTAAATAATCACAAAAAAAGTACGGATACAAACAAAGAATTTTCAAGTGTAATTTCTCCAAGTAGATTTCTTTCAACTTTTGGTTGTTCAAAGTGATATTTCTTTTCATTTAAAAATTGTTTGAATGTATCAAAGTGTTCGAAAATGAATGATAGAATTAATTCATTGTATCCAAAACGTGTTGATGCGTAATACCGGTTTGACAACGTTTCATTGTTTATTTGATGGTTAACCCTGTAATCATTCCAAAGTCCTCTCCAATATTGCGTTGAAATGTCTTTAATAAATTGGTTGATAATCAATCCCTCATTTTTTTCGAAAATTTTATTACATGCTTTTGATGTTCGGTGGTTATAACAGTAGTTATAATTGAACGACTTTTGCTTTCCTTCATTGGTGTTCAAAAATTCAATATAATTTTGTTTTTGAATAATTTCATCTGAAATTGTTGAAGGGTTGATACAAATGTCATCATTAAGTTGTTGTTTTAATTTGTATATACACCTTTCTGCTTTTCTTTTTTTATATTGAGAAACTAAATATTGTAATCTCATACCAAGCATCGTCATATCCGAACCACCATCAACGGTTATTCCAGTTAAATGTTCAATACTAAGGTTGTAGTGAAACAGTACTTTTCTAATTAAAGTTTCCCATGCCATTCCCGTCTTGGTACCATAGTAACTTCCAATTTTTAATTTACGTTCTTTTGGTTTTAAATTTTGGTCTAATGTACGAATATATAGACTAAACACAGAATCTCCATGTAAAGTGGAGGCATCTGCAATAAATTCAAAATCTTCCTTTTTGCTTCCAATTTCTTTTATTTTACTTTTTGTAATAAAATCGATCAATTTCATTTTGTTTTCAATAGTTTTGGCAGATACATCAATTACAATCCAACTTTCTCCATATTTATTTTGTATTCTCATTAATTCAAGTAATTTATCTATTTGAAAACGAGATAGTGATAATCGTTTAAAATAAAATGCATAGTATAAAACAAAGTATTTTTTTGATAATACTTTTTTATCAATTTTACTTTCTTTTGAATGAGTTTGAACCTGTTCTTTAATTTTCGATACAATAACATTATCTATTCCAAATTTAACATCGTTATTTTCACATATTAAATCCCATAAATATTGAACAATCTTTTCTTCGCATTCTTTATTGAAACTTTCATCTTCAATATATTCTTCACTTTCTTCACTAATATCATCAACATCAATATTTTCATTGTTTTCATCAACTAAATTATCAAAACCAGCAACTTCTTCACAAGATGATGACGAATCCCAATAAATAGTATCAACTTCTTTATTGTTAATTAAAATTTCAAATGAAAAATCATCATTATTTTCACATTCCTTATCAATGATACACTCCATTAAAGACCCATTGATTTTTTGTAAACGTGTTTGTAGATGTTGCGAATTTTGAATTTGCACTTCTTGCACTTCTTGCACTTCTTGCACTTCTTGCACTTCTTGCACTTCTTGCACTTCTTGCACTTCTTGCACTTCTTGCACTTCTTGCACTTCTTGCACTTCTTGCACTTCTTGCACTTCTTGCACTTCTTGCACTTCTTGCACTTCTTGCACTTCTTGCACTTCTTGCACTTCTTGCACTTCTTGCACTTCTTGCACTTCTTGCACTTCTTGCACTTCTTGCACTTCTTGCACTTCTTGCATATGTTGTGAATTTTGCAACTTAAATAATTCATTATTTTCTTAATTGTTATAAATATGTACGTTTGAATATTTTTCACATGTTAATAAGTGTCGGAGAAATGACATTTAAGTTTCTTGTAAAACGATGTAATT